ATATTTTAGTCAATTTATATCACATGTTAATAAAATGAATGTTTTATGCCCTAGTTTGGTGAGTAATGCCTGGGACCTTAAAAGTTTATAGTCAGCCATCTAAAATACACCTACTTGTCTTTTCTCATCTGGAGTAAAAGTTGGTGTTGTTAAGTGCTATCTATTCAGGCAATTCTGACTCATAGCGACCATGTATAGGGTTTCCAAAGAGTGGCTGATGAGTTTGAACTGCCAACCTTTTGGATAGCAGTCCAGTGCTTATTCTACAGCACCACACCAGGAGTAAAAGAGAGTGAAGAAAATCAAAGACTAAAGGAAGAATCTAGTTCACAGAAATAATAATCTGCACAAACTACAGCCTCTTCTAACCTTAGATCAGAAGATCTTGATAGTGCCACTACTGACTGATATGGTGCCCAGATAGTACCAACCATTCTGACTGAGGACATAATTGAAAATACCAGTCAGAAAGGAAAAAGAACATAGAACAAAATTCAGATTTCTAAAAAATGACCTGACTTACTGTACTGAAAGAGACTAGAGGAACCTCCAAGACTATGGCCCTAAGAAAGCCTTTTAATTTAAAATCGAAAACCAGAGGTCACCCTTTACTTAAATAATAGAATGGATTTAAAATAAACAATATCACCCATGTTGTGCCCCTTAAACAGTTAACTACATGAGACCAAATACTCAACATTTACATAAAAGCAATGATGAGAAGACAAGGAGGAGAAGGGGAGCAAGATCACTGGAAATAGAACAAACAGAAAAAAGTGAGAATGCTGACGTGAATATTGTAACCTGTGCTATGGAACAATTTATAAAAATTGTTAAATGGGAACCTAATTCACTGTGTAAACTTTCACCTGGAAAAAATAAAATATAGGGGGAAGAGGGGAACAGTTAAAACACCAACCAAGAAAACCTAAGGAGCGTTCTGCTTAGTACACATAAAGTTGCCATGAGTCAGCATTGATTTGTGACTTGATGGCAACTAACAACAATGACACAATTTTTATTACTTCTTTCTTTTTTTTTGCTAGTTCCTCAAGGTGTAAAGTTGGCTATTGACTTGAGATCTTTTACAGTCATAAATTTCTATCTGAGAACTGTCTTCACTGCATCCCATAACTTTTATATGTTGTTTTTATTTCCATTTGTGTCTCTTTTCTAATTTTCTTTGCGATTTCTTCTTTGACCCAATAATTGTTAAAGAACTTATCATTTAATGTCTACATTTTAGTGCATTTCCACATTTAGTATTTCATTTCCTTTTGGCTGGAAAGATACTTTGAATGACTTTACTCTTTTAAAATGATTCAATTTTTGTTTTTTCATTGTGGCCTAACATATGATCGATCTGTTCTGGAGAGTGAACCATGTGCCCTAGAGAAGAAAAAATATTCTGCTGTTGTTAGGTATTATTTTTGCTGTTCGTTACCATCAAGTCAGCCACTGACTCATGTTGACCCCATGCACAACAGAACATTATCACCATGATTTGTTGTAGATCAGACCGTTGTAATCTGTAGGGTTTTCATTGACTGATTTTCTGTAGCAGATAACCAGGACTTTATTCCTACTACATCTTAGTGTAGAAGCTCCACTGACAGATGGGTGGTGGATATTCATGAGGTGCCTCATACAGAATAGAACCAAGATCTCCCACAAGGAAGGCAAGATGTCTACCACAGAACCACCACTGCCCCATTGTTGTGTTCTATGTTTATCTGCTTGGTCAAATTGGTTTACAACTGATGTATTTTCGTAGTATTTTTTTTTTTTATCCTTTTAGTTTTCATTTGTATGTACCTTCGTATTTAAAGTATATTTCTTATGTTGTTGTTGCTAAGTTCCATCGAACTGGGTCCAACTTACAGCAACCCTGTATTGGGTTTCCAAGAAGCAGTTGGTGAGTTTGACCTACCAACCTTGCGGTTCAACCGATCTCATGGTCCAGTGCTTATAGACAGCATATAATTGAGTTTTGTGTTTTATCCAATATGACAATTTTCTGCATTTTGTTTGTTTTGACCTTTTACTTTTAATGTGATTATTGCTATAAGTAGGTTTGAGCCTGCAATCTTGCTATTAATTTTCAATTTGTCCCTTGTGGTGCTGTAGGATAAGCACTGGACTTCTAACTACAAGGTTGGCAGTTCAAACCCACCAGCTGCTCTATGGAAACCCTGTAGAGTGTCACTATGATTCAAAAATGATTGAACAGCACTTAATAATGACACGACAACTCTTATGATATGTCTTGGTGGTTTTCTTTTGGAGTCTATTCTGTTTGAAGTTTGTTCAGCTTCTTGAATGCTTCTCATCTTTCATGATGATAGGGACATTTTCTTCCAACAGCTCTTCGGCTGTTGTTTTTGTGCTTTTCTTTGTCTCTTCCTGTTCTGAAATTACAATCACCCATAAGTTATTCCTTTTTATGTTGTCCCACATGAATATTAGGTTTTCTTCAGATATTTCCATTCTTTTTTCTGACTGTTCTACTAGCTCACTAGTATTGAGATTTATCTTCAGGCTCACTAATTCGGAATTCTCTTCATTCAAATCCACTTCTTTGCCCTTTCAATGTGTTTTCCATTTCAGAAACATTAATATTAATCTTTTTGTATTTCTGTTTGCAGGTTTTTTATTGTGTCCAGACCTTTATTTTGTTTGTTACTGTAGTGCTTTTCTGAATCCTTACTTGTTTTTCTTGACCTTTCCGTCAGTCATTTGGAGGTACCTATAGATCATTATCTTGAATTCATTTTCAGGTAGTTCAATGCCTTTTTGTCCTCTAGAATGTTTTCTAGCTTTGTCTCTTTGTCGCTTGTTTGAGCCTTTCTGTCTTGTTTCTTCATGTGAACAGAAATTGTCTGCTGCTTTTGATATTGTAGTGATATTGTATTTGTATTAAGTTGATGATTATTTGTTGGTGCATTCTTAGATACTCACTAACTGCCTCCTGGTGGGGGTGATCAGGAGATGAACTTATACACCTTATTCTATTCACTGTGTAATTCAATTCAGATTTGATTTAGCTGATGCAGGTTGTTGTCATTGCTCTGGTGTACAGCAGCTGGTATTACCTCTTGCCCAATGGGTGAGGTTGTAGAAGGTACAGTTGTGACTGAGCTGTATGGATGCAGTTGCTGTCTCTTATTCAGTGAGGCAAAAAGAGAAAACACACACAAGAGCTAAGGAAAACAAACAAGCAAGAAGACAAACAACAGAGAAAAAAGAAAATAGTAAAGAAAAGGTGGGGGGAAAGCAGGCAACAGCTAGGAAAAGAAAGCAAAAATGAAAGAAATAAGAGGAAGAGGAAAATAATAAAAATTAATAAATAAAAGAGAGAAAAGAAAAAGAAACAAAAAGGACTAAACACAATTAGGGAGAGGGATGAGTAAAAGATAAAGAGACCAGAGTAGTGAAAACAAAAAACAAAAAAAAGAGAGGTATTTCAAAAAGAAGGAAAGAGAAGGAGACCAGAGAATAGTAAAAAAAAAAGAAAAGAAAAGAAAGAAAGAAGAAAACCAAAGAGGGATTTAAAGAAAGAAACAACAGTAAACAACACAACAATTTTTTTATTATCTTTTTCTTCGTTTTATGGCTTCTTTAGGATCAGCTAAGTATTTTTATGATTCTATATTATCTCCTTTGTTGGTTTATTAACTATAACTCTGTTATGTTGTTTTACTCATTTTATTTTTGTCAATTTTTATCAAGTATTGAGATTTTGTTGCTAAGTGCCTTTGAGTTGGTCCTGACTCATAGAGACCCTGTATAGGGTTTCTGAGGAGTAGCTGGTGGGTTTGACCGGCTAAACTTGTGGTTTGAAGTGCAGTGCTGATCCAACAAGGCCACACCAGGATTCCAAGTATTGAGATGGAATATTGAATTATCTGACTATAATTATAATTTTTTTTCATTTCTCCTTACAGTTCTGTAGATTTTTGCTTCATGTATTTTGGTACTTTTTATTAGGAGTATAAGCATTAAGGATTATGTTCAGTTGATTAACTGACTTCTTTGTCATTGCAGAATGATTCTTTTTAATCGTAGTAATATTCTTTGATGTGAGTTCTACTTTATTTGATATTAATATAGCTACTCTAACTTTCTTTTGATTGTGACAAGCATGGTATATCTGCATCAGAAGTAGAAATATTTTGAGGGACTTTTTTTAAAAAACTGAAGTGAATTCATTCTGTTTGCATAAAATAGGTTTAATTTTTCTACTTAAAAAATTAAGAATGAATATTATATAAAACAGATAATAAAAATATACTTCCATCATGTAAGATGACTAGTTAATGGCAATGGATAAATGTTAAAGAGTAAATGAACAAGGTAAAGACAGGGCACATAGAAATGCTAATGTAGCTGCAGAAAATTTTTCTGGGGAGAGCCTCTTGGTTGCAACCTGTAGGAATATTGCTGTTAAAGGATCTTAGGTATTAGAATTTTTGGTGAGATAAGCATGAATGGAAATCATGCTCTGCTCCAATTAAGTTTGGAACAGAATCTAGCCTTATCCCTAACTCTAAACATCAATTATTTCTCTTCAAGAATTGGCTTGGAAACGAAATTGAGGTTATGGTCAGTACTGAGGAAGCCAGACGCCATCTGAATGACCTTCTTGAAGATAGAAAGATCCTTGCTCAGGATGTGGCTCAACTAAAAGAGAAAAGGGAATCTGGGGAGAATCCACCTCCTAAACTTCGTGTAAGTGATGTTATGAAATAATGTTACTGATAATCAGACTCTGTACTCCCCTGAATTCCTTGCTACTTTGGAGGATCACTTTCCTTTTAGTATTTCATCCTAGTTACCACTATTGTTCTTTACAGAGGCGCACATTCTCACTTGCTGAACTACATGGTCAAGTTTCTGAGTCCGATGATTCCATTACAAAGCAGATTGAAAGCCTAGAGACTGAAATGGAACTCAGGTAACGGGATTGCCTCTAATGCATTATAAAAATGTATGCTAGGATTCAAAATAAAACCTGTCAATCCAATGATTCAAAAACTTGCTTTTCAAAAGCTTTGTAAGAGCAAGAGAAAGTAACCACAAGAAAAGAAAATCAAACACTGCACTAGATATGTTAGATACATTTTGTCATTCAGTCCCACTAATATTCTATGAGGTGTAAAGATTATATTTCTCATTTCAGAGATTTAAACTGAAGTTAAGACATTTACTAAAGTTTATACAGCTAGCAAACAACAGAACTGGGACTCATGCTCTTTACAATATGCCATGATTTTTTATTCAATAGTATCTCTGAAGTGTTGAACTAACTAAAAGCAAAGAAAGGATACTAGAAGAACAACAACATAGAAGGAACACAACCTTAAAGATAATCAACAAAACATAATGTTAAAAATAGATGTATTGTATAAGTAAGATTATCATGAGCATTAAATGCGATCATGTAGTAAAGTACATAACGCGGTACTTCACACACATATTCTCTCTTCCTTCCTGGCTCTAAGACTCTACAGAGGCTATGCTAAACAGCTTTTCTAAGTACTATTATTGTCTCTTTTATTTTTTAAATGTTTTATGTGAATTATGTGATCATTTACATGGGGGAACATTAGCTTTACATTCATCCTGTCGTATAGTTTCATTGCCATGGTTACAGTCCCCTCTATGTATCATCAACCAACCAAAGGGCATGCCCCGCAAGCCTGCCCCCTGGTCATCAGCACACAGCCCCTCTCCCTCTCTGGGTCTATTATTGTCTCTTAGGCTGTTTATAAAATCTAGAAAGAACAAAATTTTGGCAGAAGTTTTATAATGTCTTAGGGTATTCGAATTTTATTGCCCAGAAGACGTAGGAGATAATTTCATTTGCTTTCAGCAAATACATATTAGCTGTTTATCTTTGGATATAAGTCATTCAACATTTGAGTTTTTGCTTTGTGCTGCACTGGATGCACCATCCTTGTTCTCAAGTGGATATAGTATAATGATTTAGCTAGAATAATTTTTTTAAATGTCTGGAATGTTGTAAACATTAGCTTATATTAGCTATAGTGAGAGTATATATGCATCATGGAAATTGGCAAAAACTGCAAATCAAAGCTGGTTTTTGTTAAAAGTGCTTGTTGTTAAACATTTACCTACATACCACTGTACATAAGTAAATGTTTATGTAAAGTAAGGCAGTGTCAAGTAGAGGACAATTAGACAGAGGTTAGTTTAATCAGGAATTTTACTAAAGTTTTTGAGACTTAAACTAGATTTTAAACTAGATAAGGAACATGAATTGTCAGAAAGAATAGGAAAGGACATGTGATAGACAAGGATCCTGAAGTGTTCTGGCCCACATCTTCCCAGAAGTCTTCTCTTACTCTTCATCATGCCTCACTAAATCTTACTCTTCTCTAAATGACTTCAGAACTTACAGTGCTTAATTATGTGGTGCAGATTATATGTGTTGTCTTTATACATATTGTTTTATGTTTATTAGATTTGTCTATATAGACAAGTTGTAAATTTATTGAAGAAAAGGGCTATATATTAGACCATTGGTCTCAAAGTATGGTCTACAGATTTCTGCGATTATTTGAGACACTTTCAAGGAGTCTGAGTGGTCAAAACTATTTTCCTAACAGTTCTAATATATTATTTGCCCATTTCACTATGTTGGCATTTATACTGATGGTGCAGAAAAAATATTGGACAACACTGTTGACATCTTAACCTATATGGAAGCAGTGGCATCAACTTGCACTAGTAGTCACTGTATTCTTCACCACCATACATTATCAGTTAAAGGAGAAGGGGGTTGATTTTACTTAAGAATGGCTTTGATAAAGTAGTAAAAGTTGTTAATTTTATTAAATCTTCACCCTTGTGAGTACATGTCTTTTTATTATTCTATGCAACTAGGTGCTCTGGTAGTATAGTGGTTATGAGTTGGGCTGCTAACATCAAGGTCAGCAGTTCAAAACTACCAGCAGTTACACAGGAGAAAGATGAGGCTTTCTGATCCTGTAAAGATTTACAACCTCAGAAACCCTATAAGGGTCACTATGGGTCAGAACCAACTCGATGGCACTTAACAACAACAACATGCAACAAAGTGAGAAGATCACATAAAACACTTCTATCTGCTGCATCCTAAAATATTATGATTATATCAAGGGAAAGCACGTGCTATTGTTTGAGGTGTGGGCTTATTTACTTTTGAAGCTCCACATTGTAGTAAGTACAATCAACTGATTAACTACCAATGAGTGTTTCTATACAATCATCTGAGTTATCACATTTCTCTGTACATTTAGAAATCTTACTAAATTGTGTTTACTGAAACGGCAAATGTACCTTTCTAAATCTCTCCCAGAATCTCTCCTACTCTTTTCCTACTCCCCCTAACTCTTGAAGCCTCATATATAGCATGGGAATAATACTAGTCTCTGCCTAATGAGGTTATTGTGAGGAATACTTTAGATAACATATGTACATTACTTAGTACATGGTCAACCTGCACTAAATTGGAGCAGAAGCCTCCTTTGAAATTTTTTCTTCTTTTTTTAATGTTTTATTGTGAATTATGTGATAGTGTACATGGGAGAGCATTAGCTTTACATTCATCCGCCTATCATATATCGTTTCATTGCCATGGTTACAATCCCCTCCATGCATCATCAACCAACCAAAGACGATACCCTGCAAGCCTGCCCGCTCCCCATCGTCAACACACGGCCCCTCTCCCTCTCTGGATCTCAAGTCCCCAGCTGCTCCATCTCTCCACGTCATTGTCTCTGCCTCCATCTCAGGCATCAGTGCTTCTCTGGGTAGGGTCCCGCTCTCCGCTCTTCTCCACTGATGGTCCTAGGGACCTCCGCACCTAGACTGAAAAGTTAATCACTCCCCTCCTTGCTATAAAATGTCTGTCTACCTTTACATTTCCAACCCTCACAATCACTCCTGATAACAATTATTCACTGTTGTATCACAAGAGACCTATCTGCATTTCATTTCATCAGCCCTTCCTAGACAGATTGGATACTATTCAGTGGAGATTCTACCTTCCTCCAGGCCCTCTGGATCTAGGTTCCCTCTTGAAAGCTTGTAAGCCAGTCACTTCTTGGCTTTGTATCCCCCGTTTTGGGTAGCCAATGTCCAAGTTGCCCATCCTTGTGTACTCTGTGTGTGAATGGGGTGGGAATCTTTCTTGCAGTAAGGATTTGTTTCCTCTTTTGAGCTACTGCATCCATAGGTGTAGGTCAAGTTCATCAAATTGTATCAGATTCTGCTTTTTTTCCTCTTCTTTCTTCTTCTGGTTGAGCTCTGATCATCCAGTCATTGCAGACAGGTCAAGTGGGTATTATTTGCAAGTGTGAGTGTTATTGTGCATAGGCCCTCTCTTCTTGTCAGATGGATGCTTCACTCTCCACTCTAGTCCTCTGGCTGTGTCACTAACTCTGGGCCCAAGAGTTCCCAGGTCTTGCTACACTGCTGGCCGACCAGGTCTCCACCTGGGTTCACAGGAGTCTATTGAACATTGCAGTGCTTAGCTCGCCGCTTCATTGCTGTTTTTCCCTTACTTCTCCTTATCGGTGACAAGCATGGTCACCAATCATAGCGTGTATTCCCATTGAGTCTTAGTCTTGGAAGGGGGTTTGCACTGAGAGGACCAGACCACTTGCCTTGATGTTTCCTGGGCAAGCAACTTGTTTGTTCTTATAGTAACAGTCCGTCTGCCTCCATTGTTTTGTATTTTTCCTGTAGGTCTTTCTTTCAAGAAGTATCTTCTGTTCTTCTAGCTACTCCAGGCTGGTTTGCTCGTCATTTCAAGTGGAAATTTCCCATCTCTGGAGATCTGGATGTGGTTCAAGCTTCTACCTATAGTCTTATGTATTTCAGAGGCTCCACAGGAACCTCCTTCACTGGGCACATTGTAGCCCCATTTTAGGTATTCCAATCAGTTATAGGCAGAAGACGGACTTACAA